GTGAGTGCTTATTTCACTTTGTTTTTCCCTATCCCTCAAGCCCGGCGTCCAAACAACAGTCTATCGTTCTCCTACAGGCCACAGTGATTTGTGCTCATCACCTCCTCCACAGTGCGGGATCCTACCTGCTCCGGTCAGTGCAGGTGCGCCCAAGGGAGAGTCAGCAGCTGTCCCAGGGCAAGAGCTGGCAAGTACTGCTGGGCCTTCCGCAAAACATTCGTCCGTCCTTTTACAGCCCATGTATTCCTCCAGTTCGTTTTCAATACTATATACAGAAAGGAAGGAAATGCAGTCAGTAAAAATACCCACACACTTGCATACACTCTCTACTGGAAGAGCATCAGCCATTCATGAGCCAACCTACCCATACTCATAGCCAGCTGGTAAAGGGTAACACACACACACTCACAACTTGCTGCACTACTAGAGTAGTGGAGACTGAAATACTCACTACAGGCATGTTCACGCTACAGGTGCCTATTCTTGTCTTTGGAGTAACTCATCCCTGCTGGCTACAGTCTCATCTGATAAACCCCCTCTCCATTTCGAGGGCCAGCGAGATTAACAAGCCTCCTGGTAGACTGACATCTAACTATAAGGCTTCTACCTCAGCGGGATGCTATACTAATGCTGCAGCAACTCTTCATGTAAAGCCGGGGTAATGTCTCCTCAAAGCCAGGCCTGACTTTGAAGGGCTTCAGAAATTCCCATGGTTAGTCTGAGGACCTGAAAGTTTAGAGAGCTCCTGACTTGGGTATCAAGAGGCCAACAAAGATTGTGGTTGCATTCCAAGCACTGCAGGGGTTAACTACGTTGTATGGGTGTTATCTTCTAACCACCCTGGCAGAGGGTCAACTGGGGCTCCGGAGAGAGGCCACTTTCAGGTTTGCTTCATAAGCAGAACTAAAAACAAAACAAAAAACCCCAAACAAACAAGAAAAGAAAATATTTAAAACGTGCTCCAGACCAAGGCTGCTATGCAAAATGGTGCATTAGTGCACCATTGATACTCTGCCAGAAGCCCGGAGGGAAGGAATGAACATCTTGTTTTGCTAGAGCAATCCTCAAGCACGCTTTATCCCTAAAGGGTTTTTTACTCCACAGTTTACCCAGGCACCCTTCTCTCCTGCTTCCCATCAATACAGGCTGACAGAAGGGGCAGGAGGAGAAGAAATGAAGTCGAGATCCAGTGACAAGAGGTCAGGGGCAGTTGTTTATGGCTAGACAAGGCATGCTCGTAGGTATAATGCAGTTTATTCACCCATCACTAGGCTGCCATCTCTAGGAAAGAGGGCTATTTCCTTCAGCCTAGCTGTTAAGCACACATAGCCACCTTAGTGAAGGAATGGCCAGGGGTGCAAAGCTACCCACGAGGGGAGGAAAACCACTGAAGACTTTAACTCAAGGGATATCAGTTATATCTCCTCTGAAACAAAAGGCAGGTAGTTGCTAGTCAGTTGAGTTGAGTGCAGCTTGGCAGCACACAGGGGAATTGTCAGAGAAAACTGGGGGGGGAAGTTTTCCTCAACTTCCAAATCCACTCTTGACACAGAAAGAGATGCATCAGAAGACGACACTGAGCCCAGCTTCAACAAAGGTCTCAACACCTCATTAAACCCCGGTGATGTTACCAAAAAGGGCCGCACATCAGCACAGACATTCTGACAATGCAACTGCTTTAACAAGGACGTAAAACACTTACTCAGCATATCTATTCAGACTGGCATAATACATAGCTGTGTGGCCAAAGCAATCTTCTTGAGAAGGATCAGCTCCATGCCGAAGAAGAAGTCGTATTAGATTCATATCCCCCGTAACAGCAGCAAGCATAAGATTGGTCCTAAAGCATCCAAGAGATGATAGGAAATACATCAGCTTCGGCGGACATTGCATTGCCATTACTTCAGTCCCTCTTTGCTCCCCAGACAATTTATTTCCCTTCTCCATTACAGGCAGAGTGAAAGCACAGCCAAACCCGTGGAAGCGTTGGAGAATTCAGGTTGGCAGGACCTCAGGAGGTCTCCAGGCCAACCACCTGCCACCACAGGCGGAGTGTCTGTGTGTGTCTCTGTGTGTGTGTGTGGCACCACAGCCAACGCTTTCTTGTGGTCTTCTGTGCAGAAATTGTCCCGAGGTAAGAAAGCAGCCGAGCGCGGGTCTGCTTTCACAAGTCACACAGAAGGAGCTCCTTCTGGGCAGCTCCTGGTTCTTTTTCAAAGCTCATTCCTCTGCCTCCCATCAATCCAACTTGAACAACGCTAAGGAGTCCCACGCGCACTTTTGACAAACCCTTCACCTTTTATGCCTGTCTTGAGCATGCACGTTAGCTCCTTTTTGAAGAAGGAACTCGGCCATCTCTCCACAGTGCTCCATGATCACAAGACTAAGCGGGGTGTATCCCAACTGCAAAGAGAAATCATCTCCCTTACAATAACACAGAAAAGTCAAGCAAGTTTTGGGAAGAGGAGCCTTACCCAAAGTCCAGGCTTACCTCATTCTTAGCATCAATGTCAGTGTTGTGCTCAAGTAGCAGCTCCACTAGAGATTTGCTAGGAATGAGGGCAGCCAGGTGAAGGGCAGTGTTGCCGCCGCTGCCTTTGAGGTCAGGGTTGGCACCGTGCTTCAGCAGAATAGCCACACAGTCTTTGTGCTGGCACTCTACTGCCTCGAAACAAGAAACAAAGGAGGAATAACTTCCAACGTTTACGTTTCTCTCTGTCAGAACTCCCGCATCTTCCCAACCCTGGAAAGTATGAGCGTTTTCAAAGATTAGGCAACATATGCCCTTTCCCCGCTGACTATAACATACCTATTTCTACGCAGGCCTACGTAAAGAATCATGCCATCACTGTGTATCGCTCAGTGCATAATTGATAAGCCCAACATACAAGAGCATAACTTATTCCACGCACCTTCATCAGTGGTGATTTATTAAAATTGTCACGAGGGTTTAGCTGGCACTTCTTTTCTGCTAGAAATTGAACGACATCTGCATGGCCATTCACACAAGCAAGATGCAGAGGCGTCCTAGAAATTAAATATATTCAGTTAACGCAGACAGGCAGCTGAAGACATCGTTTCAGGCTGTGGTACCGGCCGCACAGGGTCACAAGCCTCAACTGGCAAAAAACAAGCTGAAAGCAAGCTTTCTTGTTCTAGAGCCAGTGGCAGCAGTTGCACACCCAAAGCCTGGGGCTGGCTAGGAAAGTCCCCAACGCGCTGAGGGGTCTGGAGGCATTTCCTCAGCCATGTCAATGAACCTGCGCAAACAGACTCCTATGCCCAGGCACCGGTCCCTGCCTCCAGCAGGGCTGCCCAGCCACCCAGCACAGCGAAGGAGATGGCGTCTTGGTGGCCTGGAGTCTATGGAGGCTATGTAAGTCTACAGAGCCTGCGGAGGCTGCGTAAGCCCCTGGGTTTTCCCCCAATCGGTCCCATGCCAGGCGCGTCCCAGAGACAGAGGGGATGGGATTTCCAACAGCAACGGGAAGGCTGTGCCGTGTCTTTCTGCGAATCCATGCCTGCTCAAGCAAGCCGCTCAGTCTGGCAACAGGAAAGGAGCTGTCTCTGCTTGGACAAAGGCCTGCTGAGCTCCACAGAAGATTCACTACAGGGACCAGGCTGGCAGGGCAGGGCAGAGCGGAGCGGAGCATCCGTCCCCTCCTGTCCG